AAAAAAAAGAATACATTTTGAGGTATTTTTTCCCTGCCTTGCAAGGCTGTTGTGAGAATCAAAAGCAAGAGAGAATCTCTTGGGAGGGGCAAGATCATGCAAATAACATGGCTATAAAAACAACCGAAAAATAAAGATAGGAGGGAGAGGAAGCTTTCCCAATGATGGCTCATATGAATGTTGAAGTCACTTGTTCTTCTGAAACCTTTTAAGATATCAGTATCTCTTGTTATCTAAGAAAAGTAACTTTTGCAACTTCTGGTGCTCACATTGACATTTATTCCTGCAGATGTTAAATGCACGGCTGTGCTGCTTCCAGTTTGCAGCCAGATTTCAGGTTCCCAGTGCTGTCGGGCTACGACTCCCATCATTCTTCACTGCTACCTTTGGATTGGGCTGACGGGAGCTGTAGGTCCAACCACATCGGGAAGGACACCCTTTGCCCACTCCAGCTAACAGAGCACTGGGCAGTTCGTCCCTCTTGTTCTCAGTCTGGCTTACAGAAATTAAACGTCTCAATCTGCAAAATGTTATTTAAAACAAAATAAGGATTGTATGTCTTGTCCTCCACCTCCCCAACTCTCTAAAATATATGCTGACTGGTGGTGGTCGCCCATCTTTGCCCCACTTCCTCTCTGGCTGTATGTCATCTTTTGGCCCTCCCCCCAGATAAGCAAATGTCTTTTATGGGTGTTGCGGGCTCCCCATTTGATCTAAAATGGGGCTTTTGTGTCCAGGACACAGATGGCTCCCCACCTAATTTTTCTTTCCTCCTTTTCTTACAGATCCCAGAGTGAAAACCTCATCTGAGAGCAATCGTAAAATAGAAGCAGAACGTCAGATGAAGATGCAATGTTAAGATTTTCTGTAAAATAGAAGGTAGACCGGATTCCGTTTTACCAAAATTAGAAACAGCGCATCTTTTAAGATGATTTCAGTGGGACCGTCTGGGGATGACAGCCCCTCTGTCCAAAAGGGGAGCAAAGGAAAGTGGCACATAGAAAGGAAGACCGTTGTCTGTGGATGATGGAAGCTGTAGTCTGAGCCAGGTTGAAGCAGGCCGGCATTCGTCCTGGTGCTCAGCAGCAGGGCGAGATGCAGCCGTTTCATGAAATTCCCAAAGCAAATTGGGAATGCGAGGGATAAGCACGAGATGGCAGACTTGAGCCCTTTCTGAGCTGTTCTAAAAAAGCTCTACCAACGGCCAGCCCTGATGCCTGCAATCGGATTAAAATGCCGTTTGCCCCCTCAGGCGTGGCCTTTCCTACCAATTACGGTATGCTAGATTTTGCTTCTGAGGACCCTCCTGTATCTATTAAGAACGCACAATGAGCTTCAAAACATTACTTCCTGGACTACAACATCCATCATCCCCACGCTGGGAGTTGCAGCAATCCAAAAATGGAACTTTTCCAAGACTAGGGGCTTCCAGGAAGTGGGGAAGAGGGATCCCGTTGCCTCCCTCCCTGCAGCATGGAATCATTTCAGGGTAGGATTGAAGGCAAAGAGGGGTATGATCAAAATGACCCTATTTCAGGCAGGATCAAGACTTTAGGGTGAACACTACAATATTAAAAAGAAGAAATAAACAGAGAAGATCTCGAAAAGCACCTGGGGCAGGAGAGGGATGTGGGACCAGGGTTTTTTGATTTCCCCCTGCCAGGTCTTTTTCTCGTATGCCTGGAACAGAAGCTTCCGAGTTCTGTCAACTGAGCCTGGAACCCACTTTTTTTTTTAACCTCCTACTGCACTGCTGCCAAAACAGTGGGGTTAGCCCCCCCAAAAGAGAAAAAGCCAACAGGAGGGAAAAACCACCTTTCCACACACCCGAAATGCGCAGAGGCGCCAGTTCTGTCATTCTCCCAAAGCCACGGACATTGGCAGCTGTTTACATGCACACACGCCCTATGGCTCAGCTCAACAGCTGTTCTTTTGCCTTGTACTTGATCCAAAAAATTTGGAAGTACACTAGCAACCGGCCGCCACCAGAGACCTGTGTTCCAGTTACGCTATGTTGTTTCCCCCCTCTCCGCCCCCCCCCTGCATGTCACACCCATAGCTCAGGCTTCACGGCTTATCCAGTCCTTCCTGGGGTTTTGATCTGGCGGGTCTGGAGTCATCATGCCACCTACAGGGCTCAGACCCCCTGCCCATGCCATCTGGCCCCCTAATGCCCATTGAGAAAGAAAGGCATTGCCCCGTGGCTCAGCTCAACAGCTGTTCATTTGCCTTGTACTTGATCCAAAAAAATTGGAAGTACACTAGCAACCAGCTGCCACCAGAGACCTGTGTTCCAGTTACTCTATGTTGTTTCCCCCCTCTCCGCCCCCCATGCATGTCACACCCATAGCTCAGGCTTCACGGCTTATCCAGTCCTTCCTGGGGTTTTGATCTGGCGGGTCTGGAGTCATCATGCCACCTACAGGGCTCAGACCCCCTGCCCATGCCATCTGGCCCCCTAATGCCCATTGAGAAAGAAAGGCATTGCCCCTTCTCTCATTTCTTGACAAGATCCTGGGCAGGTGGACCGATGTGAGATATCTTGCAAAATTCCTCCCACTTCAAAGGGTGACTCTGTCCTTTTTTTTCTCAGACTGCAAACCTGAAAACCTTTTCCGTTTTAAATCTCACTTGCAAAAAATCCTGGAGCCATCAGTGCCACCGTGCCAAGATTCATATACTGTACACATATTTGCACTTGGCACACGTTCAGAGCCCCCCTTCTCCTTTACAGTGGACCCTCTACTTAAGGAATTAATCCGTATTGCAATGGTGGCTGCAAGTCGAAAAGTCTGTAAGTCAAATCTCCATTGACCTACAATGCAATGAAAACTGATTAATCCCATAACCAGTGGTTTTTATTCTATTTTTATTCCATTTTGGTTTTTTTCTGGTCTGTAAGTCGATTCTCTGGTTGCAAGTCGAATCTAAATTTTGCAGCCAGAGAAGTCTGTAACTCGAAAAGTCTGTAAGTCGAGCCGTCTGTAAGTCGAGGGTCCACTATATTATCAAGCCAAGGCTAGGTTCTGGAGCGGAACCAAACTGTTTTCTAAGTTTCTAGCTCTCTTTGAGTTCCATGTGCTTCTCAGCCACATCTCGGATGTCTCCTGAATCCCTGTCCACTTACCCCAAGGTGAGTCCTGCTGAATTCAACAGGAATGATTTCTAAGTCAACAGAAAGGAGTTGGGACTGCATAGGAGGAAGGTGGCCCTTTTCTTTCACCAGCGGAAACCCCCACCAGGCTTTTCTGTAAGGAAAAAGAAGAAGAAACTTATGTGATAAGTTTAGATTGCTTTTATATATTTATTTTTATTTATTTATTTATTTATTGTATTTATACCCTGCCTATTTAGTCATTTTGACCAATCTAGGCGAATTTTATTACAGTTTAATTATACCAATAAACTTTTTGAACTGGGTGAAGGGGAGGTGTAAAGGGAGAAGCCAAGGAAATAAATACAGTAGAAACGGGCAGTCTAAATATTTGACTCTAACTTTAAAAAAAAACATTGTTTTCAAAAAAAAGCAAGGCGGAGCAAATTCCAAACGGTGCTTACTGAGAAGTAAGCTCCCTAAGTCCAATAGGTCTTAACCAAACCCATACATGTTGAGTACTGCAGCATCAAATGTTATTTAATGAAGGTGCCAGTTAATCTACACACATTTTTAAAACACCATGTAGTTGCCAGTGTAATAAATGGAAAAGTCCATTTGTCAAAGTCCCCCGGGCAGCTTCTAGAGGCGTGTCGTGACCTTTGAAAGAAAGCGAGAGTATAACAGGCTTCTTTCCCCTTAGATGCCCTTTCACACCTACACGCATGTTATTTATTTCTCCTTCCCACTCTCCGGGCAGATGGAAAAGTATTTATGGGGGCTTTGATTAGGAAAACAGCATGTCCCCCAGGCAGCCCTCTTCCGCTCCTGTCTCTGAAGAATCCAATCTGGAGGTGGAGGAAGGGGGGGACACGTGTCTGTTGCAGAAAATCCGGTTCCTACCTTCAATCTTTCTTACCTCCCTAGATGTCCGGGACCAGCAGTAATTGGGGGTGGGTGGGTTTTCCTCTCTAAACACAGGAGTACATTGGAGATGCTGGTATCATAAGATGCAGAGTCCAGATGCACAATTTGCTTGTGTTTTTCCAGCTCTGTCAGTGGGCTTCTATTTTGCAAATCAGCAGCCTTTGGCCAGGGACTCATCCAGATGGCAACCTGATTTAAATAAGCGTGGAGAAAAAGTTACTTTTTTGGGACCCTTTTAGCTATGCTTCCAGAAGCTACCACCTCAATTTCCTTTCCCAACATCTGGTCAAAATGCAGCAGACTCGTTGAACCGAGGAATTCAGGGAAGTTCCTTTCCTGGTCCTTTTTATTAGTTGTTAGAAGGAGCAGCCGTGTCAGTCTGTTCGAGCGTCATAGGTGAAAACAAAATAAAAATGAAGAGTTTAAAAGAAAAAATGGTGGCACTTCAAAAGCTAACTTTTTATATTTTTGAATGACATTCATCCAATGAATATTCTTCATCAGACACAAGAGACAGCATGGCGAATATTTATAAATGGCTTGTGGTTGGTGGTCCCTTTTAGGGTTTAGGCCACGTTTGCTGGGGGTGATGGGGGTTGTAGTCCTTGTTCGCAGCTCTGGTTAAAATGGGAGTTGGCGTCATGGGCTCAAAGAGGTCAGAAAAATGGGATGGGGGGGGAAGACTGCACGAAGCATCATACAGGCTGGGAGTCTTAAACCCACCTACCGACCCTAAAAACCTTTTTCCCCCCTGAACTTTGCGATGCTTCCCGCTCTCGCCTATCAACCTGGTCCAGCGGAAGGACAGGAGGAGGCGGGGCCTAGCCTTTTGGGGAAACCCCGCCCCGGGGGCGGGGCCTATCCGGATGCGGAAGGCCAGGAGGAGGCGGGGCCTAGCCTTTGGGAAACCCCGCCCCTGGGGCGGGGCCTAGCCGGAGAGAAGCCCCGCCCCCGCCGCTCTAGCTGCCGGCCGCTCTCCCAGGCTGGGCAAAAGCAAGCTGCGCCTGGACCGCGTCGCAGAGCGTTCCGCCGTCCCGTCGGAGCCACCGAGGCTGTGCTGCCGGTCTGCCACCGCCATGGAGGAGGCGAGAACCACCCTCCTCTGCCACCGCGGCCGGCGGCTCCTTTTTTGCTGGATCCCCTTCCTCCTCCTGCTGCTGCTGCCCGTCCCGTCGGGAGGGACCACCAAGGTGGGCGCCGGTGGGACGGGATGCGACGCGATGGGGGAAGGAAAGCGCCCGGAGCGCCTCCTCCGCATCCCTTCTCGCCTCGTGGGCTCAGCTCCTCCGCACTTCCCCCGGGGGGGCAGAGCTCTTCCTTCTATTAATTAGGGCTTGTGAACGATGCCTACAAGTCCCATCATCCCCACCCAGCGTCTTTCTTGCAGTTCCTAAATTTAAAATGATGTTGATGATGATAGCTTTCCCGACCTCTCGGTTTCCCCGAGTGGTCTGCATTTTGACCCTTGCTAAGGGAGGGATGATATGTACAGATTGCACTTTTCAGACTCCTCTTAGTCATGCTGGCTTGGGGGCATTGTGGGAAATGTAGTCCAGAAGTTCTAAAAAGTAACTTTCATGAACTCTGCTTTTTTCCGGGGGGGGGGTCGGGCTCCGTCAAACAGCTGTTGGGGGAAGGCGAAGTGGCCCCACCGCAGGCATCAGATTTTGGGCGTCCCGAAAGGAGCCTGGTTGTGTATTTATTCTTCTATTTGTATGTTTGGTTTTGCTTTTTACTCACAGGGGGTGGGGACAGCCCCATGTGAGTTGGTTTCTTTTTTTAAGTTTGAACTTCTCTGCCCAAATAACTTGGTTGCAAGGCTTCTTGTCCGCAAGCGAGACCAAGCTCTGGACAGAGTTGAAGACATGAGATTTCGGAAGAGTTATGAAGCGGCATCAGGCGGTTTGCTTGTTGTTATGACTGCATTTCTCTTGGCCAGGGATGGGGGTGAAAGACATGTAGGATGTTTTGTTTTTCTCCTACATCCTGTGCCAAAGTCACTTCATCCATCCATGGGATGGATCCTTCGGCTTGCCTGGAGTGGCAAAATGTCCCTGGGTTGGCAGATCCCTTCCACCCATAACTTTTCCTGGCTTAAGTTTTTGTGGTGCTTTGCAGGGATGAAAGAAAAGTGGCCATTTGTTATGCAGATGAGCCTTTTGGGAATGTCTTCGCGGGGCGCCGAGGATGGGGGATGAATTGGAGTCACCGTCCAGCTCACACCTCCATCAGTCAGGGGATCCCGGGGTCTCTTCCAGGCACTACATGGACATAACTAACTTCCAGTGTGGCTGTGTTCAAGGGGACATCAAATCCCCTCGCTGACCCATCCAGATGTTTGCCAGCCTGGAGCTGGAAACAGCCTTGGGAGCTGGAAACAGCTGGGAACAGCAGCTTTCCTGCTGACCTTGTGCCACGATACTGAAGGGTTACAGCATGGTGGGTGTGTGAACGAAGGAGCAATGCTGGCTTTTATGGTATTTCCCCACACACACACACACTTTGGCCCTTGTTAATTGATTTCCCCCCCTTGCATTTAGGCAGGAGAGTCAGGCTGGAGTTGTTGGGGGGAAATGCAGTTGAATACAAAGCCTACAGGTGTGCAGAGGGAAGAATTCTCTGGTTAGGTAAATGGGTAGAGAAAAAAGATAAGTGTATTACAGAGATGGGTTGCTTGGCTGTCTTGCAAGGCTGTCTGTCTACAGACAAAAGGGAGCCTCCAAAGTCAGAGATTTTGGGCTTCTTCCTCCATTCCCCCAACCCTCCATCAAAGCCTAAAGAAGTGGGTTCCGAGAATTTGAAAACTTGCCACATCGGTGACATTTTAGAGCCCAAACAGATGCACTCCTCAACTCTGACTTTTTGTCGCTGCTCGCGCGTGTACGCAGCACACTTCAGTGTTTGCCTTTTAAAGAAAAAGCACGGAGTGACAACACGGAGTGTCAAGGCATTTGCGTACATTTGGAAAAAGCTGGTTTCGAAGGAAATGGGACAGAGTGTGGCATTTGCAGCCTGTTTGCGGGGATCGAGGGAGGGAGGGCGTCCGGCTCTCGGCTGTTCCAACGGGCCCGTCCAACCCCTTTCTCAATCCGATGATTCAAGTGCCCCCAACAGCTGCCTCGGGACTAATTGCTTCTCGATTTCATCAATAGCCTGCCAAAGGCGGTCCAGAAAAGAAATGCTGCTCGCCCACACAGGAGGGCTCTGGAACATGGCCAGGCTCTGAAGCAGGACAGAGCGGTGTACTGGAGAAATGTGGGTTGCCCCACCACCATCAGCCCTGCCTCCAGGACCCGGCATGGCCCAACTAGAGGGTTTTGGGATATGTGGTTCTCCTCTAGATAGGCATCTTCCTGAGCCCTGTGTCCCTTTGTGTACTGGTAGAGCTGGCTGTGCGGCGAAGCCAGCGTTGAAACATGGGCCGCCCTGCTTCATGCCCTGAGCGGCTGCATCGTGGGAAACCCCAGCACCGTGACCGATGGGCAATGTGGTGGAAAGGAAGGGGAGAGGCCACCGTGGGGTCTCACGGTTGGCCCGTCTGAAAGCCACCCACAAATAGCCAAGGAGGGACGTGGCGCTGGGCCTGGGTGCCTAAACGAGGCACGGTCCATAGGAGAGGGGATGGCACTGTCCCAGGGGGGAAGAGACGAGCGTTGTTTTCTTCCTGGCACTGGCCGTGATGATTACGGCACATGTCTGTGCAACAAAGACGCGGAGGGTGATGGAGGGACACGGTGGGGAGAGGTAGGGAGACTGCTTGGCCAGGCAGTCCCGGAAGGAAGTGCCAGGCCTGTTCAACATGCTGTGAACTTGGTTAGTGGCCCAGACCTCGGTGGTGGGTCCTGATGGGGAGGGCCTGTCCATGACCTAAAGATGCCCAAAGGGTTGGGCCCAGAAGGCCACGCTCGGCAGTAAAGAGTATAGAACCCTTTTCATTTCCAGGTCTCAGAATTCAGTTCCCCTAGCTTTCCTCCAGGGGCTTCATCTCCAGGGGTGGGTAGTCCCAAAGGCGAAAGGGTGGCTCCCAAAATGTACAGCCTTTTTTTAAGCCTTCAAAGCCTTTCTCCTGGGAACTGTGCCTCCGAGGAGACATCCCAAAGAAGAGAAGCCAAATCGAATCAAGCAAACCGTTTGGAATGGGGAAATCCCCACATGGATTACTGGGGAAATAGCTTCCCACCCCGGTCTGTGTTGTTGTTTAGTCGTTTAGTCGTGTCCGACTCTTCGTGACTGCATGGACCAGAGCACGCCAGGCCCTCCTGTCTTCCACTGCCTCCCGGAGTTGGGTCAGATTCATGTCGGTCGCTTCGATGACCCTGTCCATCCATCTCGTCCTCTATCGTCCCCTTCTCCTCTTGCCCTCACACTTTCCCAACATCAGGGTCTGTAGACCGTTACAAATGTCTCTTCCATCTCGAGGATCTGGCATGATCTTGCTTGGGTTCCTCTCCTTGCTATCCTTCGGCACCTTTGTCAACTGGCGGATCCGGGCCAGGGAAGAGGACTTACTCAGCGCCCTCCATGGACAGTTGTGTTCAGTGATTCTTCCTGTGCTCCCCTACCTCTCCCAACCCATTGTTGGTTTTAGCTTCCCGAGACACTTTGAAGATGGAATCTGTGGGAAATGAGCCCACTGTGGCTCCCCCCCTACCAGGCCCGGTTTCTTTTGTTTGGAAGTAAACCCTGAGAGGAATCTGTTGTCCAAACTCTCCGGCCAGGAGCGCGTCTGGGAATGTTGGGTCTCTGGGCCTTCCCTGCTATCCGCGGGAGCTCAAGCCGGAGAGCTTTACCAGCTTCCGAAAAAACTCAAACAAATCCTGTTTTTGGATTCCAATGGCTCAGGCCAGCTAGCATGCTAATGGTGAAACCCTGGGAGTCTTGATCCCCCCCAAGGGAACTTTTGCAAACTTTTTGTTTCCCCCCCAGAAGCTGCTTTTGGAGGGCTTTGCTTTGAAAGGCAGCCTGTAAAAACAGGAACTGAATGAATGAATCATTGGTATATCAAGGCCGATGCTTTAAGTGGCATCCAAACACAAGAGGGATGTACCGTACTGCCGTAGTCAAGGGGTCTCCAGCCCTCCCAGTAATACGGAATATCTAGGCCGACAGAACAGATCCGTGGGCCAGCGTGGTCCAAAACAAGGTCAATAGCCACCAAACACGGCCAGACATTTCTTGGGGAGAAAGCAGGAAATGGGCAGTTTTGTTTTCATTGTTACATGCCATCAACTCACTTCTGGTTCATGGTGAACCTATGAATGACCAATCTCCAACGTCTCTTGCATTGAGTTGCCCTGCTCAGCTCTTGTAAACTCAAAGCCAGACATTTCTTGGGGAGAAAGCGGGAAATGGGCAGTTTTGTTTTGGTTGTTACATGCCATCAACTCGCTTCTGGTTCATGGTGAATCTATGAATGACCCATCTCCAACGTCTCTTGCACTCCGTTGCCCTGCTCAGCTCTTGTAAACTCAAGCCAGTGGCTTCCTTTAGGGAGCCAGTCCATCACCTATTTGGTCTTCCTCTTTCCCTGCTGCCTTCTTCCATTTCCCCCCCAGCATGATTCCCTTTTCCGGGGACTCCTGGCTTCTCAGGCAGTTCCCAAAGCAGGACCGCCTCCGCTTCCACCTTTTCACCTCAAGAGATCATTCAGGCTTGATTTGATCTAGGACCCCCTTGCTTGTCTTTCTGGGGAGTTCGTTAACAGGCATTTTACCTTGGAAGTTTCTCTTGAAATCGTCAACGCTAATACCACAAAGCAGACGTTCTAATGCTTGAAACTCTTGTGGAGTCATCTTGTAGAGTTACACAGAGCTCCTCAGCGGCCTCCAGCTGAGCCCCTGTTTTCAGCAAAGGCGGGAGAATCCGCATTGCGACTCAGCTTCCTTTTCTTTGCGTTCTGGCGATGCTTCTCGTTTTGCCTTCTGAACAGAAACTGAAGTGGAAGGCTTATGCATTTGTTTCCAAGGGAAGCGGAAGCCCCACTGGATCATTCTCTACATCATCCCTGCTGACCGATTCAACACCTACAAGATGCGGGTCACGCCGGGACAAGTTGGCTGAAGGCGTAATCCGTACATGGCCTAGAGAAGGGGAGAAATTGACCGGCCACTGCTTTTGCCATTAGCATAATGAGAAAAACGGCCTCCCTCAGGCTGTTCTGTGCGTCTTTTTAAAGCGTGGTAGCTCCTTGCTCCTCTGGACGTGGTGGGCTCACCATGGTCGTCCCAAGGTTGTTAGGACACCACTTCCCAGCATTCTTCACCATTGGTTCCATTAGCAAAGGAACTGTAGTCCAGCTGCATTGGTAGGGCCACACTTTGCCCATCCTTGCGCTACCCTTTGGCCCTCCAGCCCCCACCATCCAGTATCATTGGCAGTACAGCCCGGGGATTTTGGGAGTTGTAATCCCAACTGAGCACCTTCCCAAGATATGGCAGGAACCTGGATCTACCCTTCAGCGTCCCTGTCGTTGTCTTGGCGTGCAACCTCTGACTTTGCATTTTAAGTCTTCCATTTGTAGTTGCTTCATGTAGGTTCCAAAGTGGTTTTGCCAATGTACTACGAATCCCATCAGACCTAGCCAGCACGCCCCAAGGTGAAGGATGCTGAAAGATGTTGCCCCCTCTGTAAGGCAACTGTTTGCCCACTCTTCTCCTTTTGCTAATGTTTTGGGAAAGTTCCTTTTTCTGGACTACATTCCCTATGATCCCTTAACCAGCATGGAATTCCAGGAGTTGTCATGCCCCCCCTCACCACAAAGTAATGTTTCCGAGTTCTGCCTTTTGTCCACCTTCGCCCCGTCTCTTTCATCATCATCCAGGGGGAAGCGGTGCTCCCTGCGTGGAGGGTGGGCTGAGCGGCCAAATCTCCAGGCCAGCACCAGGGACTCGCTCTTCCTCAGAAGGCCATGCAGGTTAGCATCCTGCTGCAGAGTGCTTTCTGTGTCAAACCCTGCTCTTCAATCTGTTTGCTTCATTAAGATTTCCTTTCGTGGGCCGATGGCCGGCTTGGGCCATGTGGTTCCTGTTTAAGGAAGCTGTTTCCAAAACATTGTATGAGTTTAGTTTGTCTATTTGGGACCGGGAAGGGACAGGCGCGCAACACTGACCTTGCGTTGTGAGCGGATCTCCTTCCCGCTACCGCTCCCTGGGAAACGGTTTCTTTTGCCATCAGCTTTCTCTACATACAGAGGCAATACTCAGATTTCTGAGATCTGCTTTCCCCTGCCAAGTGCTCTTGGTGTGGATAACAGTTCCCATCTGCCATGACATATAGGCCATGGTGGGTGGGTGATGGGACACCTCTGGAGGACGCCAGCTTTGGAATGTCTGTCCTGACATCCCCTGGTGGCTTTCCAAATGGGCTGGGCTTTGCGGTGGTTGCCGGCTGGGGAAGATGGGAATTGTCATCTGTCACCTTTGATGTGCCCGGAAGGGAAGGGAAGCTGCCGGGCAGTGTGTTTGCCGGTGTGTGTGTGTGTGTGTGTCTTTTTTAAGGATGGCTTCTTGCAAAAGGACAATCGAGCACTTCGTAGTTGCCCATCATCTACAGACAGCAGGACGGCAGGCTCCCGGTCACGCCAATCACGTGACTTCTCTGCTCCGATTTGCATCTGTTCCTATAAATCTCTCCATGCCATTTTATGCAAACCAGGGACCCCTTTTGTCCTCTGTTCGCGTTTAGGAAAGTGTCCCCTTCCCCCCCCTTTTTAAGCGGCGGGGGGGGACTGTAAGTAGCCCTCCCAAAGCTGAGCCCTCCCCACTCGGCTCAGCTGGATGCCCTGGAGAGGCGCCTTCCCAAGATCTCCCTGGAGCTCCCCCCCCCCATGACAGGGACCTGCCTTTAAATGTCAGCCGAGAAGTGTGGGAAAGAAGCACGCCCTGCAGCCCCCAAAAAACGAAAGGGCGGGTGTGTTGCAGCCCAGCTGTTGCTGCCCTGCCCCCAGGCCTACACACACACACACACATATGTGGGTTGGAGAAAGTCTCCCTGCCAGGGGAAGTTCCCATCAGAACTGAAACCCAGCATCTTCGCGGCTTGGCTCTCGTACCAGCCCGCCAGAAAGAGAAAGGGGGCTGCCTTTCAGAATACGTACTCTGAGCTCCGAGTTTTTTCCCACTCTGGCCACCTTGGATAGGAAATGGAGCTGCAAGCAAAGCTGAACCTCATTTCCTCAAGCCATTCCCCCCTGTTCTCCTCCCACCCCCAATTATCCTTTGCAAATCAAAGGTTTTCACGGATCGGGCCCTCTCCCACGCTGGTTCAATCCCGCTCGATCTCCCCTGGCCCATCCCAATACGGAAAGTGACCCCCCCACTTTTTTTAAAATCGTGCCAAGCACCTGCTGCCTTCTCATATGTCTCCATTTTCCCCAGGAAAGGAAGGATTTGAAAGGAAAAGTCAAAGAACTGAGGCTTGGTTTCGATGTTGCTCGGTGTCCGAGGTAGAGATCTTCCCCTGCCATCATTTAATGTCGCTCGAGAGAGAGAGTTCGGGCTTCATTTTCCAGCCCCCCCCTCCCAAGTGCAGCTGGCCGGCTAGCAAACAAGTTCTCCCTTTGATCAGCCGCCTTGTTTTCTTGTTTGCTCAGGTGAGCAAACCTTCCGGCTGATGGGATTTAGACCTCTCCGATTTGCCCAGGGGCTTTGGAGAAGCCATCCTAAGGACACCGTGATCCTTTCCTTTCTCTTGAGTTGGCATCGGTGTTCAACTACAACGTTGGCTCCTGCCCAACCATTTTGCCACTGATGGGAGGCGTAGAAGAGGTTCAAGTGGATGCAGAGTTTACACAACATAAAACGATCCAAGTTTTCCTCTTTGTGTTTCACACATTTATTCCTAACCATGCCAGACTGATTTTTAAAATTTATTACGCAAATTTAGCTATTGTCTTTCTTACCCATGAGCTGATAACCTCGTATTTGCCTAGAATTTCTTGGGTCAAGAGGCGACTGGTGAAGAAATACTAAAGCAAACGAATAAAGACGAAGAAATCATAAAACACAGAAAGTGCAGACAGCTCTCAAAAAAAAAAAAGGTTTGGCAGCTTGGATGGATACGTTCAAGTTCAGGCTAAAAGCTGCAGCGGCTTCACCCCCCACGAAATTGGAGTCATGGGTATTAAGAGTGCCAGGAGCATTGAGAGCTATGCGCTAACCCCCAGGGAGACCCGGGTTAAAGGGACTCATCTCTGCTCTCCCTGCAGGTATTTGGCGAGACGGATCAGGTCCGCATGACGTCGGAAGGCTCCGACTGCCGGTGCAAATGCATCCTGCGGCCCCTCAGCAAAGATGCCTGCAGCCGCCTCAAGGAAGGCAGCGTGCGGGTGGAGGATTTTTATACCGTGGAGACGGTCAGCTCGGGCACCGACTGCCGCTGCTCCTGTACGGCCCCTCCTGCCTCCCTGAACCCCTGTGAAAATGAATGGAAGATGGAGAAGCTGAAGAAACAGGCCCCGGAACTCCTCAAGGTAATGATCGGAGAGCAGAGGGTGGCTTTGCCCTGATACCTTTCTACCTCTCTATTACTGATGGGTGGTCTCAGTACTGGCAGGTGTCCTTTGCACATAGCGGCTCCTTATCATCTCCAGGTGAGGCTGCAAAAACTCTTGAAACACCAGGTAGACACAGCTGGGCTTGATGGGCCTCAGGGATCTTGCTCAGGTCTTTGCCGAGCCAAGCAAGCATCCGTGGGGGCTCATCGCTTCGTTTTTGGGTTGTTTCTCTCTTGCCTCCAAAGCTCCAGTCCATGGTTGACCTGCTGGAGGGAACCCTCTACAGCATGGACATGATGAAGGTCCACTCGTATATCAACAAGGTGGTGGCACAGATGAACACGCTGGAAGAGGTAAGGCGGGCAGGGGGTCAGAATTCTGGATAGGGTAGGGGTGGGCGTGCAACAACTGCAGCCAACTTCTGCTCAGGATCCTGCCTTCCCATTGGGGAAAACAGAGTAACAGCAGGTGAACCTTAGCTGACCAGGGTGGGAATGTATTGGCTGATGACTCCTCCGGTCCAAAAAATACCTAGAGATGGGAAATGGGGACAACAGACCCCAAAATTTGGAGAAACAGACTCCAACATTTCAACTATGCAGTGATGTGGGAAATGATCTATTTTTTAAAAATCCAATTTCCGGATTCCACTGGATTCTTGGAGTCCAAAAAGTCATATTTACCCCATTTACAAATACCATCTTCTTTCAGACAGGAAGAGAACTGGGCCCAGTGGGTATTTCCTCTGTGCCTTGTTAACTGATGAGAATCAGAACCCTCTCCTTCCTCTCCCCTCCCCTCTGCACCCCCCCCCAAAAAAAACGTCCCTCATGGCCTCAGACCATCAAGACCAATCTAAGCCGGGAGAATGACTTCATGAAGGAGAGTGTCCTCCACCTGAGCCACCAGATGAGGCGCTACGAGAACTATTCCGACATCATGATGGGGATCAAGAAGGAGCTCTCCAGCCTGGGCTACCAGCTGCTGCAGAAGGATGCGGCCGCCCCACCTGAACACAAGGCTCAGGTTAGCCGGACTCCCACCAGCAGCTGTAGCAATCCTTGGCCAGGGGTAACCCAACTTTGGGTAATCCAGGTGTTTTTGGACTGCAAACCCAGGTTAGCCGGACTCCCACCAGCAGCTGCAGCAATCCTTGGCCAGGGGTAACCCAGGTGTTTTTTGGACTGCAATTCTCAGAAACCCTGGGGGCCACCACAGCTGGTGTGGGTGGAGGCTTCAGCCTACACTGTTTTGCAAACCAGTAGGGCAAAACCAGTAACTTTTCGGTCCTCTTGTGACTCCTTGGTACCCCACCCGCCATCTTATTTTCTCTCTCCTAGGACACAGCTGGGGGTAAAGGCAAGGATGGGACCGGGAGGTATTCTGGTGCTCGGAAGAGCCTGGGGGACAGAACCCCTCTGAGGGGTCCAAAAGAAAAGCACCCCAAAACGGAGAAGCCGCGGAAGGAGAGCGCGAAGGGGCGGGCGAACCCCGTCCAACCGACGTCCAAGCCCAGATCCTCAGGGCACCAGCAAGCCGTGATGCGTGGAATCACGTACTATAAAGCTGGGCATCGGGAAGAAGCCGAGGAGCTGGCGAGCCACCGGGGTGAGTAGCGGAAAGGCAGCGCAGGAGGGAGCGGGGCTGCGAAATTGTTTCGACCATGGCCAATTTTGCAAAACACTCTGAATTAAGAGGATGTCGTCGTGATGGCAGGGGAGGAGTTGAAAGGCAGAGCTTTATCTGCAGGCAGGAAGAAACTGCTTCCTTCTCAAGGAGCTTCCTTTTTTCCCCAATAGATTTTGCTGCCTGAGGCACACAAATTTCTGTTATTTCTAAAATTTGTGAGAAACGTTACGTCCACTTTGGGGGGGACTTCTGGCCTTTTTCCCCCCTTTTTTCCCCTTTTTTTTCTTTTTTCTTTTTTTTTGCATTCTGAACATATATTTCAAATAAGTACCTCGTAAGTAATGTGTTAGTCATATGTACCTTTGAAAGTAATGAGTATCCCTGAGAAGACCATTTGAAAAACCACCAATCAAGTACCAAACTCCTTTGAGAATCAGAATTTTCCAGGCTATGAGGAGGCATCTGGTGCCCTTCCCTCTGGTCAAACACAAACAGCAGCTTAAAGCCAGCCAAGTTATTTTGGCTTGTGGGGCAGAAAATCCCACACATGTCGGTCTCTCCCCTTCCTCGCAGGACAAACACAATCATCACAAAGTAAATAAATAAAAATGTGCTGCCTTTTCCTGACGCTGCAAAGAGACAGCCGCTCGCCGCCTAACCGTAAGGCTGTCCCTGATTATTCCCAGCAGAGGTGCCCATAAATGGAGGCACGAACACAGAGCCGCATCAAGATGGCAAAAGTCCGGCCTCTTACCCAGCCCGGGAGACCCTACCAAGAGACGGAGAACGTTCTGCTCCAGTTTCCAGTCCCCGCGGTACCACCGCCACCACCACCTCCACCACCACGCCAGCACCCAGCACCACTTTTTCTGCTAGGACCTCCAGTCGAGGTCTGCCCGGCACTGGTCAGCCCATTGCCGGGCGTGGGGGCTCAACTGAAGGACCCTCCACTGCCAACCACGGTATGTAGAAAGCTGGATCTGGAGAAGATTGTGCGCCTCTGGCAAATGTGGGAATAACCAGGGGTCGAAACTGGGTGCTGAGTTTGTGCCTGACCCACACAGACTAACCCACCCCCTTTCTTCCTGCCACTGGCTTTCCAGTTCAGGAGGCGGCGTGTGAAGGCACGCTGGAGGCCGTCGAACCCCCCGAGACCCAGCACAGCTACGGGCGCAACGAAGGGGCCTGGATGAAAGACCCGGCCGCCAAGGACGACCGCATTTACGTCACCAACTACTATTACGGGAACAGCCTTGTGGAATTCCGCAACCTGGAGAACTTCAAGCAAGGTGGAAAGGGGGTGGGGCTTGGCAAATAAGAGGAGGGGCTTCTCAGCAGGTGGGCGGAGTTTTCTCCAGGTGTTTCTGAAACAAAGACTACCTGGACCTTGAGTAACAGAAGTGGATCCAGGGTGGCCATATTCTACTTGGGCACATAATGTAGGGGCTCCTAGGCCCTGGTTATGGGGAAAGAACCTTCCGGCATCCCTCAGGGCTTAGGTGGGCATCTATAGGGAGGGTCATTCTTTCAAGGTATGATCCTGTGGCTTAAGCCTTAAAATGTCATAATCGCCACCACCACCATTTGGGAGAAACTGAGAGGGACGTGGGCTTGTATTCAGCCGCTGAAGCATGCCACTATGTTTTTGCCCACAGGACGCTGGAGCAACCTGTACAAGCTCCCTTACAACTGGATCGGGACCGGCCACGTGGTCTTCCAGGGCGCCTTCTACTACAACCGGGCCTTCACCAAGAACATCATCAAGTATGACCTGCGCCAGCGTTTCGTGGCTGCCTGGTCCCTCCTGCATGACGTGGTGTACGAGGACACCACGCCATGGAAATGGCGGGGCCACTCCAACATCGACTTTGCCGTGGACGAGAGCGGACTGTGGGTGATCTATCCCGCCACGGACTACGACTACGGCCAGCAGGAAGTCATTGTGGTGAGCAAGCTCGACCCAGGTGACCTCTCAGTGCGCCGGGAGACCACCTGGAAGACAGGCCTCAAGCGCAACTCCTACGGCAACTGTTTCATCATCTGTGGGATCTTATACGCCGTGGATGAGTCTAACACAAAGGAAGGGCAGGTGGCTTACGCGTACGACACCCACACGGCCACCGAGGCCAACCCCAAGCTGCCGTTCCTCAGCGAGTTTGCCTTGACCACCCAGATTGACTACAACCCGAAGGAGAAGATCCTCTACTCTTGGGACAACGGCCATCAGGTCACCTACAGACTCCGCTTCGTCGCTTGAGGTCCGGCCCTCCAAAGCGGTTCAACGTACTGGGCTAAAGTTTTCTCCCCATAGCAGCGGGACAGCCACCCCAGCTCAGAAATGGGCCCTGGACCCACGGAGGAGCAAAACCATTCATTCCATGGGGCAGAGCTGTAGAAAGCTTGCCTTTATCCAGTGCCTTCTCAGCCATCCTTCACAAATGTATTGAAGTCGTTTTCTGGAGAGGGTGTGTGGCTGTGCCTGATAGCTTCCAGAAAGGAAGGAAGGGATGTAGAAAGCTTCTCAGCCATCCTTCACAAATGTATTGAAGTCGTTTTCTGGAGAGGGTGTGCGGCTGTGCCTGATAGCTTCCAGAAAGGAAGGAAGGGTGGGACGAAAGCAAACCTCTCCCATGGGCTGTCCCCCCCCTTTGTGGCTTCCCTTTCTCAAAGCTGCCCGGCTAAAGTAGGCTTCTTCTGAGTTTTTATAGGGCAGTATGCATACCTTAAGACATGGTGTGTGTGTGTGATTGTGTGTCAGGGTATGTCAAGCATGAGGAGTTTCGGTCGATCAAGGTATGTCAAGCATGAGGAGTTTCGGTCGACCCGTAGGTCAACATTTATCCCAGATATATTATTGGGGACCACAGTGGTGGGTGGGCCGGGCTGGAGTCAAAAGGCTGGGGCCAAAATACTGGCACATTTTTAACATAAAATTCTCTCTTAGTACTTAAGACTTAAAAGAGGCATTCCTACCTTTCAGAATGGAGAGGGGGACCTATTTTTTAAAAAGATAGTACCTAGAGCGACCCAGAAGCACCTTGAGAACCCTTCCTTGGTCCAAACCCCACCCAGCTTCTCGAGTGGGTCACGATTATAGCCATTCTGGGATTTTGGTTTGGCAGAGCCGGCCCTACCGTTAGTGAGGTTGCTGGAGAAGAGTTGTGTGCCATGCAACCTCCGATCCAATATCCAGCCACTAAAGTTAGATTTGCTAGCATGTCCCATCACCAGTGGGGAAGAAAAATTCAGCTATAGTTTTGTGCAGTCAATGGGAGACGGGTACTATCTTTTTTTCTGGGGGGGGGTTGTCTCCTGGCAGCAAAATCTCTTGCGTCACCCCTGCTGTTCACAAAGGCCCTCCAGCATTCAGTATATGAGCCTCTTTCAAAAGCAGAAGGGGGTCCTGCCTGCTCCCACCCACCCACCCACTTTTCCCTCCGAGAAAAATGTGGAGCCTTGGCAAAGGGACAATGTTTGGTTGTTTCAACGTATGGGAATTTGGCATCGGTCACCGTTTAATATGGTGGCTCAGCTTAAAAATGAAATAATAACCCCGCAGAGAGAAAGGGGGGAGCCCGCTGGCGGGTTTGGCATGAGCCAGCTGGAAAGACTTACAGATGGCAGGGGGAGTTTGCCTTTGGAAGTGGGCCTGCAGGAGGTTCGCCTTATCAAATATGATTTATATCTCGTGTTCGTAAACATGCTTTTATCCTAATGAAACTCTATAGGTGGCCATCAGGCATGGCAGTCTGCATTAGGCTAATTTACGGTGGGGAGTCTTTGGCCCTCCAGATTTGTTCTGGATTTCAGCTCCCAGAAGCCCCAGGCCTGCTTCGTTGGGGGGTTATAGGCACTGTAGTCCAAAACACTGAGCAGAGGACCAAAGGTTTTCCAGCAAGGATGCATAGGCTGCTTAATGTCCAGAAATGTGGTGAGGGAAAATTTGTATTATCTTGTCAGGTATTTCTGATCCTTTAGCTATGTCGGGTGTGATGTTTTCAAACGTATGCTCCTGCCCATAAGGACTAGAAACTTGGAAATATGGGCATTCTCAGGATTCTACCACCCCGATGTGTGGTACACATACAAGGTGCCCAACTTCGACAGTGTTATGAAGAATTTCCCACCTGTTGCGTCTAATGCCAAAGGAAACTAGGAAGAAGCTGGGTCGGAGAGGTGAATTTCTGTGTGACAGTATTAATTCTTTCCCTTCCCATGTGTCTGGAAATGAATTCCGTTTTAAAACAAAACAGTTTGCTTGTGTTTTTTTGGAAGTGTGATTTTCTTCTTCCTATGACTAGTTTGAACTGTTCTTTTTTGGCTTTGAGCGTCTGGGTGTAAGATAGTTTTACGGTACTACAGACAAATATGAAGTGACGCCCACCCCAAAACAAGTGAGAACACATTTACGATCTTAAATCAACATATATTGCACTTCCCCACCTATAGAGATGTATATTGTCCAGAGTTGGACTTCCTTTCTTCAGTGCTCACTCAGATTTCTCCCGTCAAGCCGTGTCAGGGAGCTGCTTTGGTTAATATTACTCCAGCATCTTGCCTGACATTTTAGCAGCTTGATAAGCTCAGGCCTTAACTAGAAAGGCTTTACTTTCAGCACATCTTTCCTCAGCATACCACCTTCCAAGAACTTTAGATGACAGTCCCCATCATCCCGAGCCAGACTGGGAGAACGTGGTTATCAGAGAATGTTAATGTTTGCAGGGAGAGGGCTACCCCTGCCCAAATATCCCACCGAGCATGGTCAGTCCTTTGCTTGTAGCAGTGGAGAAGGCAAGCTCAGAGCACATTTGAAAATGCTTCCCTTGCCACGCAGGATTATGGGATCTGTAATCCCCGCTCCCACCCACCCGTAAATTCCAAGCTATGATACTCTCCCAGTGCTAGGGGTGGTGTAAGATTCAACAGGTAGTCCCGTCGGTTTCTGTGCCCGGAGTAGGAAAAGCGAGGGCCCTTCTTTTTCTTTACTTCAGGCATCAACATGTCTTGAGCACCCTGTTTGTGGCACACACACACCCTGCAGCATCTGTGCGCAAAGAGAAAGACCGGAGGTTTTTGCTTAGGCTGACCTCATTCCTTCCAGGAAGGAGAAACGCATCTGTGACTGCTCGGATCACACGGACTCCCCCACCCAAAAAAAGAAGGGAGGGGAGGGTGGGCCTCTGCCCCCTGGCATCGCTCCCCACAGCCAGCCTTTTGTTGTCTCGGCTGCAGATGGTGCCGGAGGGGTGTGCCGGACCCCCGGGGGGGGATGCGTTGCTGCAGGGCGCACAATCAGTTCCTTCTCATGGTGCAAACCCGTGTGAAGTGGGGCCTCCGCCCGCCCGCAAGGGTCTGCTGGACTCTGAAGAATGCGGCAGCGCCTACGCGCCAGTCACAATGCCCGGCTGAGAGACGCAGCCCCCTCCGTAGCCGAGGGTAGGTGAGAAGGAGCTTTGGAAAAAGAAAAGGCATGTTCTTTCCTATAAAAACAAAAACAAGAGCCAGGGTGGTAGACAGGGCAGAGTCCGGCTGGGGGAGTCTGATATTAATTGCAAAAAAGTAATTACCCAAACCTCTAGGGATTGGAGCAGGGAGTTCCAGGGGGTAGTCCCCAATGAGCCAGGATGTGTCCCTAGATGAATTCAAACCTGTGGCTCTAAATCTGGACTACCTCACAGAGTTGTTCTAAATATAATGTGATAAAGAGGACAGCTGTATGCACTGCTTTGGGACAAAAGTGGGATATAAATGCAACGAATAAATGAGAGAAATAAAGAAGCAGCAGAAGCAGCACGCATTGCCTTGGCTTTAAAGTGTGGCTAGCGAACATGCGGCCTCCAAAAGTTATAGCATTACCGCTCCCGTCATCCCACGTCATTCAAAACAAATCCCCATCTGTGTGTGTTTTGCACCAGCCTCTGGTGGTAGGATTTTGAGATTTTGAATAAAAACAAAAACACCCCCCCCCTCCGCCCCCTGTCCAAAAAAATATTTTCTCCAAGCATGAATTCCATCTGCCTGGCCCTGATTTAGATCACGGCTTTTTCTTGGCTCAGGAAGTGGTGACCCGTGACCTCTGCAGATGCCAGGCTGCTCGAAAGACAACAAGAGACCAGTTGAAACATGCTCCCACTCCTTATGGTGGTTTGACCTTCCCGTCTGGCCAGGGATTGTAGGTCTGGTCCTTCTGCAAAGGGAGGCCATCGGGCATCTTCCTTGTTTCTTTTGGCTAGTTTGTGGCCACTCAGACATGCCTCGGTAAACCACTTGCTCCCTTTCTCAGACAGAATACGGGTCTGAGATATGTTCCTTAGACCATGCTCAGCTCCCCTGGTCCGTCTTTCTGTGCTTCTTATTGCTGGCTGGCCATCGAGGGCTGCTCTCTCTTGCTGGGGGCAAGCAGTGCCACCAAAGCAGAAAGCAAAGCCTGGAAATCAAGGCTAAACCCACATGCCCTCTGTTTGCATTGCTCACTGGGCCCGGGGTGCAGGGAAGTCCCAGAAAATAATGCCACCAGCTGCAACGGCAAGTCGAGGATGCAAAGGTGATGAAATTGTTGTTGTTTAGTTATTAAGTCATGTCCGACTCTTTGTGACCCCATGGACCAGGCTTGAATTTTGCTATAAGAAGCTGATGATCAGAGCTACAATCAGCTCCAGGTCTTGTTTTTGCTGACTGTATAGAGCCTCTCCATCTTTGGCTGCAGAGAATATAATCAATCTGACTTCGGTATTGCCCATCTGGTGATGTCCATGTGTAGAGTCGCCTCTTGTGTTGTTGAAAAAGAGTGTTTGTGATGACCAGCTTGTTCTCTTGACAAAACTCTATCAGCCTTTGCCTTGCTTCATTTTGAACTCCAAGGCCAAATTTACCTTTTGTTCCTTTTATCTCTTGACTCCCTGCTTTAGCATTCTAGTCCCCTAGAATGAGAAGAATATTTTTCTTTGGGGGTCACTTCTAGAAGGTGTTGTCAGTTGTCACAGAATTGGTCAATTTCAGCCTCTTCAGCATCGGTGGTTGGTGCATAAACTTGGATCACTGTGATGTTGAAAGGTCTGCCTTGGATTCTTATTGACATCATTCTTGAGATAATATCCCAGTGCAGGTGGTGAAATAACTCCCGAAGAAGTCCAAGAGAGCATCGCAGAATGGACGAATCCTCAACGCCACTATCTCTTCATGGGAAAAATAATAATTTTCTTGCTTCAGTATGCTTTCTACAAACATCTTCTTCTGCAATTCTGCATCTACTGTCTTGAAATACTATTTTGCACACAGCTGTAACTGAAGGGTCATAATCCAGAACCATGTTTCTCAGCCAGAGACACTTTACATCCCATTCAATCGCTCTACCCCACAACCTATGGTCTCACCATGATGAAGACAAAAAGAGCATTTGTTTTGGCCTGTATGTGTTTACATTCTATCTATTTATCAAGTCGGTTCTGTTTTAAAGAC